AGCCAAAACCACTAAGGAAAAACAAACAGGAATGCACTTAGTCCGCCCTTAAGGCTCACATTCACTGGGGAGCGGGGGAGAAGGGGGAAGGATTTCACCACAATCCTGAACGTCATGAAACACGTTAGAAAAACGAGTCTCTAAGGTGCTACAGGACTAACGATAGAGATAGACCCAGGGGCTCTAGAAAAGCCCACTTCTCAGAAAACCACTAAGGAAAAACAAACAGGAATGCACTTAGTCCGCCCTTAAGGCTCACATTCACTGGGGAGCGGGGGAGAAGGGGGAAGGATTTCACCACAATCCTGAACGTCATGAAACACGTTAGAAAAACGAGTCTCTAAGGTGCTACAGGACTAACGATAGAGATAGACCCAGGGGCTCTAGAAAAGCCCACTTCTCAGGTGAGTGGAGAGAGGAAGCCAAACATTTGAGATTTAGCTTAAACCTTTGGCACTCAGCGCAGGCAAATATTGACAAGGAAAATGCACCAGGCAGATGCAAATTAAAGAGACAAAACCTTAACTTTGCAGTAAGGCTGGTTGCACTTTCCAGGGCTCTGCCATACATCTGTCAGGGATGGTGTAGACGGAGCTTGGTCCTGCCTTGAGGGCGGGGGGCTGGACTCGATGACCTCTCGAGGTCCCTTCCAGTCCTAGTATTCTATGATTCTATGATTCCTGGGGCACCCACCACCATGACCCAGGCTGCCAGCAAACAGGAGAGGCAGCAATTCAGCGTGGATGCTCCCACCAGAGCTTTCGCTGAAAGGCCTTTCAGACACGACTCCTGCGCCAGACTGGCGGCTCTTCGGGCAGTGACCAATTGTGCCAGAATCTCATCTCGACTGCACCGACGTGAGTCTGCAGTAATTCCCCTGGCCATGCCAGAGCTGCTCTAGGACGCGGCGTTTACCTTCCATGTGGCGCCTTTCCTTTAGAAGCAGCTCAAAGAGGTTTGCAAGAGAGCCTTGAAATGCAGCCGTCTCCGAGGTGGAACGCGGCAGCGGTTTGACAGCAGCCGAAAGCTACCCAACAGTTTCATGAAGGAAGCCCGGGGAGGAGGCAGAATGTAACATCCAGATTAGATTGGAGGGTGCCCGGGACTGCCAGCAAGTAGCTGGGGCCTTAGTTTTGGGCCTTGTCTGCAAGGCGGCACAGCACTGCCAAGGCTGCGCGGGGGGTTAGCTCAGTCCGGACTCAGAACACCACTGAATCGCAGCCCCATTGCTGCAGTGCCTGCCTGGGGGGCTGCTAC